TCAGCTTTGACGAAACTCCTCTCAGCTAGCACGTCTTTTCAAAGTGAAAGTAGCCTTGTCACTAGGGATGGGAGTATCGATCCTAAGTATCGATATATTGATACTGACGCAAGTATCGAAAGTATCGATACTCAAACTAAGAATATCGATACTAAGGTGTGTGTTTTATTTACCAGTGATTTTGTTTATTTAAAATAATAATATTGAGTTATTTCACAATAAACAAATTGAAATCGTAGCCTACATAGTTTGTACAATTACATTTATTTAAATTGAACGTTGAAAGATAATATAGATCATGTTCTATTCTGTAATGTTAATAGATTTCTATTAACATTACAGAATAGAACATGATCTATATTATACACTGTCAGAACAAAAAGGTTGCATTTTATGGATGCAAAAGCCTGTCACTGGCAGTCCCTTATGATAATGAACCATGGTTTTACTAAAATGACCATAGTTCAACTGTAGTATTTGTAGATTTGAATCATGTGTAAACAAAAACACATTTGAACCATGTGTAAACAAAAATATAACCTAATAAATTACAATTAAGGTGTATTGAATGTTAAAATGTGTTTTACTCTTAGTAATTTAATAACTGAATACATTTAATCATTTAAAAGTTTAGTTCAGAAGTATCGTATCGGTATCGATATCAACGATACTGCCTTGAAAAATATCGGTATCGCATCGAAAACAAAATAAGTGGTATCGCCCATCCCTACTTGTCACCTGACCTGAATACAGCGCGCTGATTCGCTAAAATGGACTTAACGGCTTCTGTTCAAAAACAACAAGGGCGCTTGTCAGCTTCTGCAGTAAAACATGAACTTGCCTTGAAAGTGGAAAATATATATATATATATACAGTATATATATTTTTGTCTGCTTCATATTTTCCTACGTCCAGATTTGACATTTGAACATTACCCAGATGAAATGCCAAAGCTAATCTAACTGTATGTGTATTGCAGAGGAACTGTCCATCAGCATTTCTGTATCTAACAGTCAAATCCAGGAAAATGTGGTGAGTGTCTGACTGTGTTTACCGAAAATATTTCACAACTACACACTCTCTTTATTCACACTTCTGCATGTTCAGTCATGTCCATGGTCAAGCCACACCGCAAGAGTGAAGAACTGAGAGACGAAATAAAAAAAATTGGGGTTATTAATTTAACTGTAGACTGAGAAATTGTATTTGGATTGAATGTATTGGTGAAATTATATTTGATTTTAATATTTATTTTTTGCTCCATCTTTAGGACATCAGCTCAATCTATCAGATCTTTGCTGATGAAGTGTTGGGTTCTGGACAGTTTGGCATCGTTTATGGAGGTACACTCTAAAAAAAATAATGCAGTGGCTTTGTGAATATACCAGTAATAAATAACTATACTACCTTAATACAATCTCTGGATATCACTTAAGTTTACATTTGTTATTTTCATATATTTCACAAAAACAAACTGGTATTTGATGTGCAAATTATATTTTTCATATATACTTAATTTTTTTTTTTGTTAAATTTGAATCCAAATATTTGAGACTGTAGAAATTATACTGATCAGTTTCAAGAACTGCAATTATTACTTATTTCATAATTAATTTTCTTCATCTTTAACCACAGTTTAAGAAATTAAGTAAGCTGTACACAATGAACAATCGCACAAAGAGAGGGAAATCTGCTTTTCCCAGCATGCTTTGATATGGAGAGTAATATGTTGAAATTAGTTGCTATTTTGTGTTTGTTTGTTTGTTTACATCACTCATAAATACTGATTTTAAAATTGGCTTACTCATGTATTTGAGTTACCTTAACTCATTGGATCTATTAGTTTTGTCGTGGTACCAAATTTACTACTTTTATAAGGTGTATTTCATTAATTTCATAGCTTTAAATATTACTCAATATTTTTAAGTGTAAAAATATTTCATTAAAAAAAAAATAATAATACATCATAGTTTAAGTTTTAGGGTGGTTACAGTGGAAAATGTAGTTTTCTTTATTATATTATAGTTTGACAATGAACACATTGCAAACATGCTTTACATGTCTTGAAATAATAATTTCTTAACATTAAACATTGACTGTCACTATTTATTCACCTGTTTCTCATCGTTTAACATTAAAATTTATTAAAGTAGTTGGCGCCAATAGCCTAGTGGGCAGTGCGCCGACATATTAAACCACGTGTGTTACAACTTACCCCGCGTTACTTTGTTATATTATATTATATTATATTATATTATATTATATTATATCAGTTGTGTAATTCTTATCCTGTCGGCTCTGTCTGGGTGTATTTTGTAGAGTTTATATATCCCCTTTATCTGTTTTAAGGGAAACATAGAAAAACAGGCAGAGATGTGGCCATCAAAGTAATAGACAAAATGAGATTCCCCACCAAACAGGAGAGCCAGCTGAGAAATGAGGTTGCCATTTTACAGGTGATCAGTCTTTTTAATTTGATTATTGAGAAATTGTGGCTGTAGATACCACTCAAACAGTGTCTTCCTTATTTCATAATGCTGGAGACAAGTGGTCCTCTTTAATATGTTTAATATGTGACTGCTGTTCTTTTCTTACAGAATTTGCATCATCCTGGCATTGTAAACCTGGAGTGTATGTTTGAGACTCCAGAGAGAGTCTTTGTTGTCATGGAGAAACTCCACGGTGACATGCTGGAGATGATCTTGTCCAGTGAGAAGAGCAAACTTCCAGAGCGCATCACCAAGTTTCTGGTCACACAGGTTTGCAAATATCTTTGTTTTCTTCTGTCCTTGCAAATCCTATTTTTCATGTTTATCTCTTGTATTCTGAAGTGCATTTTGTTTCGATGAGGCAGTAGTCTGGATCTCATCTAGAGCTAAATTAGAGCGGCGAGTCTGTGGGTTGAGCAGTTGGGCCCCTGGGGGCCACGAGAGCTCATCTATTAGTCATGGATCTGAAGCCACAGAGCTGCTGTGATGTGGCTAAGATGCTTCTGTTTCAATGAATATAAATGGCAATGTTTAATGATTGTGATTGCATCCATGTTTGTTCTCGACATGTAGCCCAATGCCCGATGTCAGTGGTGTTGGTCTCGCATCCTATCAAACCAAGCATTCATACACCACTGTTCAAAATTTGGGGTCAGTAAGATTTTTTAATGTTCTTGCAAGAAGTCTCTTAAGCTCACCAGTGTTGCATTTATTTGCTCAAAAATACTGTAAAAACAGTGATATTATGAAATATTATTACAATTAAAAAATAACTGTTTTCTATGTGAATATATTTTAAAATGAAATGTATTCCTGTGATGCAAAGCTGAATTTGTTTTAGCATCATTACTCCAGTCTTCAGTGTCACTGACATGCTAAACATTTATTTATTTATACGTTTTTATTGTCACTTTTGATGACATCAATTTAATGTTCTTGCTGCATTAAAGTATTAATTTCTTTTAAAAAAAAAGAAAAAGAAAAAGTTGTGTTACTAAAAACATTGTTACTAACCCCAAACCTTTGAACAGTAATGTGATATGAGATTGAATGAAGTCCTGATGGACATGAGTTTTGTTTTTGGTGTTTTTATGATTCTTAAGCGTGTGTTTTTACATTTCCTCTTGCCTGTTTTACCTATTAAAACTTTAATATTAAACTAACCTTTAATTCGCACAGCATGCCTCCTAAATATGTTACTGGCATTACTCTCAGTCTATCAGTCCAGAAAGCTTGAAAGCTGTACTGTAATATGAAACTGTTAGCTGCTCATCTAGAGCATGTAGTATGTTTTCATACTGGGGAGAAATCACATCTATCTATCTATCTATCTATCTATCTATCTATCTATCTATCTATCATCTATCTGTCTGTCTGTCTGTCTGTCTATCTCTGTCCGTCCGTCCGTCTATCTCTGTCTATCCATCCATCCGTCCGTCTGTCTGTCTGTCAATCTATCGGTCTGTCTGTCGACCTATCGATCTGTCTGTCTGTCTATCCGTCCGTCCGTCTGTCCATCTATCGGTCGGTCTATCTATCTATCTATCTATCTATCTATCTATCTATCTATCTATCTATCTATCTATCTATCTATCTATCTATCTATCTATCTATCTATCTATCTATCTATCTATCTATCTATCTATCTATCTATCTATCTATCTATCTATCTATCTATCTATCTATCTATCTATCTATCTATCTATCTATCTATCTATCTATCTATCTATCTATCTATCTATCTATCTATCTATCTATCTATCTATCTATCTATCTATCTATCTATCTATCTATCTATCTATCTATCTATCTATCTATCTATCTATCTATCTATCTATCTATCTATCTATCTATCTATCTATCTATCTATCTATCTATCTATCTATCTATCTATCTATCTATCTATCTATCTATCTATCTATCTATCTATCTATCTATCTATCTATCTATCTATCTATCTATCTATCTATCTATCTATCTATCTATCTATCTATCTATCTATCTATCTATCTATCTATCTATCTATCTATCTATCTATCTATCTATCTATCTATCTATCTATCTATCTATCTATCTATCTATCTATCTATCTATCTATCTATCTATCTATCTATCTATCTATCTATCTATCTATCTATCTATCTATCTATCTATCTATCTATCTATCTATCTATCTATCTATCTATCTATCTATCTATCTATCTATATCTGTCTGTCCATCCGTCCGTCCGTCAGTCTGTCTGTCGATCTATCGGTCTGTCTGTCTCTCTGTCTATCTATCTATCTATCTATTTATCTATCTGTCCAGCCATCCGTCCGTCCTACCTATCTATCTATCTATCTATCTATCTATATATCTATCTATCTGTCTCTGTCTATCCGTCCGTCCATCCGTCCGTCCGTTGGTCTGTCTGTCTATTTATCTATCTATCCGTCTGTCCGTCCGTCCATCTATCGGTCTCTCTGTCTGTCTGTCTGTCTATCTATCTATCGATCTTTCTGTCTGTCTGTCTTATCGATCTATCGGTCTGTCTGTCAGTCAGTCAGTCAGTCAGTCATATTATATTGATGGCCAGATAAAGCTTTTGACAGACCATCCAGCTGATACCTGCATGCAATTAAGTGACTGCTTTGCTGTCATAGATCCTTGTGGCTTTGCGACATCTCCATTTCAAGAACATTGTTCACTGTGACCTGAAGCCAGAAAATGTGCTGTTGGCATCTGCGGAGCCGTTTCCTCAGGTAAACAACAGTGAATAAAACACATTACCCTTAAAAAAATCACCATATAATAAGCACCGGGTTTCCCAAACTAGGGGTTTGAGTTGACGAAAAGAGAACAGTTAAATAATTTAGCCTTCAAGTAAATACTTGTGAGTTCCTGTGACAAAACTTGAGCAAATTAGACCACTTGCTCAATGAGATCACTCTCTTGTTTCAGGTAAAATTGTGTGACTTTGGGTTTGCTCGGATCATCGGGGAAAAATCTTTTCGGCGCTCAGTGGTGGGCACACCAGCATATCTGGCCCCAGAGGTGCTGCGCAGTAAAGGCTACAACCGTTCCCTGGACATGTGGTCAGTGGGAGTCATTATCTATGTCAGTTTGAGTGGCACCTTCCCCTTTAATGAGGACGAGGACATTAACGACCAAATCCAGAACGCAGCTTTCATGTACCCACCAACACCCTGGAAAGAGATCTCTGCAGAAGGTAAGCAGTCACACTTTACTGATTTCAAGCTACTTTCTAAACTAAAGAATTAACCTGTTTTCTCAGCACCACCGTGTTTTTGTTACAGAGCAGTTGCAGTTGCTGAGAGTAAACCAAAATATAAACTGGTTTTGTACATTTTTGGAAGAAATAGGCAGTAGTGCATGACGGATAAGATGTTTTCATTTGTCTGAAGAAAGAGGGAGATGTCTGTCAGACAGCGCGCAGACTGTCCACCCCCACGTCTGTTTAGAATAGTTCTTTCTGCCCAGGACCTGAGAGATTATATCAGCCTCTCCCAATTTCAGTCTGTCACACTCCTCTACCAGACTATAAATGTCATTTCTCTGTCTCTGTGTTTCACATCATTACATGTTTAGTTTTATAGTTGGGTTTATTTTTGTTGGAGCAATTATACTCAAATTCATCATTACAATAGTTGAATTTATTGTTGAACGTTGTGTGAAGAAACTTACATAACAGCTCTATACTTATTTTGTATTACTATATTACCATTCTAAATATCCTGATCTATCACGGTTTTTTCGGAGAACAATTGTTTTCAGCATTGATAAAAATAAGAAATGTTTCTTGAGCACCAAAAAGAATCATGTGACACTGACTTTCAGTTTACAAGTCCAATTGGACTAGTAATATACTCCAGTATTCCAATACTTCTTGGGACTAAACTGGCTTTACGTTTTTCTTTTGTGTTGCTGTGAAGTATACTGTGAACTTATAGGTATACTATTAGTTATATACTTCTAGCCCACTTTCTAGTAGTTTATGGAAGCACACTTTGAATTATACTCCGTAAATGTTCTTAGCTAAGAGTTTCCTCTTAAAACCTATTTACAAAACTTTTACTAGGAATTGGGAGAAATCTTAAGCTAAGAGAAAGGGCGGGGTTGATCTTGTTGCTATGGATGATGAAGAATTTAATGAGAATGAGAAAAAATGAAGAATTATGAGAAAGAACATTTTATGTACTTATCAGAGATATAAAGTACACTAGATGTATACTCTCATTTTGGGGTTAAAACAAGTACACCAACAGCACACTATTTATGTAAGGGTACAGATTGATCTCTTTGGAAATGTGGCCCAGATCTGTAATATTGTAACATTCTGATCATGTATTAACCATCCTATCTATGTCCACAATCTCCAATTGAACTCTACAGCTACAGATCTGATCAACAACCTTCTCCAAGTCAAGATGAGGAAGCGATACAGCGTGGACAAGACCCTCAGTCATCCGTGGCTACAGGTAAGGAACCTAAAAGCCTGCAAAACGGCTTCTCTGAATGTTTTAGAGCTTTATACCTCAACTTATACATGTCTGCACTGCCCCAGGACTACCAGACGTGGCTCGATCTGCGAGAGTTTGAGACGCGCCGAGGGGAACGCTACATTACTCACGAGAGCGACGATGCACGCTGGGAAAAGTACGCTTACGAGCACAGTCTGGTGTATCCGAAGCACTTCATCATGGCTCCAAACCTCGATGATATGGACGAGGACCCCTAGTGGCCATATGAGCCGAACTGAAAACAAGGTCAGATGAAGGCAGGACCTGTTAATGGTCTGTTGCTATGGAGATTGAAACGCATCAGCAATCTGAAGCAGACTTTGAGGGGAGCAAACTGTTACAAAGCCAGCGAGGTCGACCGCTCTCTGGATGTCAACAAGAGTCATCCACACTGCTAATGAAGATGAATGCTGTTTCAGAGCGTGGAAATGCAGTATTCGCGGGGAGTGCATTCAGAAGTCTTAATGACTCTTCTTTTCCAAACGGTGCTGTTATGTTTGTTTCTTATTGAGGTGTGTGTTCTGAATGTCAGAAACTCGTGTTACAATAATATAAAGGTTAGTAACAGATGTGAATATTGGGGAGAACGATGCAGTCGTTTATAGTAGTTTCATTTTGAAAGCATCAAACTGGAACGTGCGTTTTTGAAATTCCTATTCTATGATTTTCTAATTCGTTTTGTCCTTAAATATAGGTTACACAGGAGACTGAATGATTTCAAAAGGGTCGTTTTTTTGCACTAAACAATACAACCACTGCAGCTGGTACAATTAAACGAATTATGTGACGTAACAGCACACCATTCTTGAAGAATCCAGAAGATGGCGCTTGTGTCGGACAGCTACACTTAAGCTCTGAATGGGAAGGAATGGGAGATATTATCTTCAGCGGACCAAAGACATTCGCGTCAATCGTGACTCTTGTTCTTACGTCGTTTTAGAGCTGATGTTCTCAGAGCCATTCTGTTTATTTATTCCTCGTACTGCAGTCTTAAAATCTAATAGCAGCTAAGCAGTGCAGAAAGATGTGTCGGTCAAAAGCCTACTGTGAGAAAGCTTTGACTTATTAGCAAAGCTCTTTTAATACAAAAAAGTAATGTATTGAAAATAACTGCTAACAACTTTTATTAGAAGAAGATGAACAGTGTTATATTCTTTTTTTAATTTTTTATATGGTATGTATTGTACTCAAGAATGAACCTTTCTATGAATCCCAGAACTGGAAAATCTGAAAAATATTTTTGGTAATGGACTTTTTGTTGTTGTACAAACCACCTACAATATTCAAATTAAGCTGGATCCTCTCTACACACACAACATAGTGAAAATGAGCAAATATGATGGGAAAAGAAGCCATTTTTAAGTAGTTTATTTTCATTGTCCATGAAATGAAAACTGTACCATACACAATGAAATATGGGAGAAACAGATTGAGGATTCCTCTGAATCATGATGTTGCCGCTGGATTGGCAAGTGTAAGTGTTCTGTATATTTTAGTACATACTGGTTCAATAAAAGCTATACACTCCATGTGTTTGGGGTGATTATTCAAGGTTTTGGATTTGCTGATGGTGGAGGAGAGGTCTGACAAAATGAAGTTTTTGACATTTTTGCAGGTCATGAAATGATCAGCAGACCCAATAGACCTGGGCATGTCTGCACCAGAATATCATGAGGAGTTTCACACATACAGCCCTTTACACAAAAGTACTGCTATATTTTTGATTACAGATCTTGTGTGAACAAGACGAATATCGGTTCTGGCAACTTGCTGTGCTTCACAAGTCAATCATCACTGTATTGCATTGCATTATATGTTTTGATAATAAAACTGAGCATTTAAATATCAATATTCTTATATATACTTTGTGTCAAAAAAATGGAGTTTCATATGGCAGGTTTTACTGGCTGGGTTAAGCATCTGATGTTGTGGGTCTGTACGGCTGGTGTGTGTGTGTGTGTGTGTGTACAGGTTTATATATTCTGGTGGGGACCTAAACCTGAATACACACAGACTCATGGGGACTCGTGTCACGGTGGGGACCTAAATTGAGGTCCCCAGTGGTACAAAAGCTTATAAATCATACAGAATTAGTTTTTTTGAGAAAGTAAAAATGCAGAAAGTTTCCTGTGAGGGGTAGGTTTAGGTGTAGGGTTGGTGTAGGGCAATAGAAAATACAGTTTGTACAGTATAAAAACCATTATGCCTATGGAATGTCCCCACAAGGATAGCTGACCAGACTGTGTGTGTGTGTGTGTGTTCAGAGCAGTGAGCCACAGTATGAGAGTGGCACCACAAATCAGCTCCAATCAACAGCAGCTGGATGCATTTATGTAACCGCTGAGATCAGGCACTGTGGCCTTCCTCACAACACTCACATTTATGAAACGGAAGAGGACTGGCTAAGTTTACTTTCATATTTAAATGAGCTGTATGTCTTCATGTTTCTCAGAGATGAACAAATTTGGATAATCTGTGTCAAATGGTGCTATTGAACTCACAACCATAAGAGTAACTGCATTCTCCTCAGATTTTAGATTCGTTACTCCACTCTCACAGGTTTGCTATGAATGGGAATTTACTACAATGGAAAAAGCTGTCTTGAATCACATTTATATGCTTGAGGTCAATAAGTCAAGTGTAGGGGTCCTGGAATATTTACTCATAGCAGGGTCTTGGGGGCAAAAAAATTGAAAACCATGTTATCTTCAGGAAATACACTGTATTTTAATGTTGTTTTTTAATCCTTTCGCCAACTAAACTAAGAGACTAAGGATAGTTTGAGAACCTTTAAATAACTATACAGGGGCTTAACGGGTTCTTCAACCACCCCAAAAAAATGCTGAAGAACCAATTTTGTGTATGTGAGTGAGTGAGTGAGTGCGTGCGTGCGTGCGAGCGAGCGTGTGTGTGTGTGTGTGAGAGTGAGTGTGTGTTTGTGAGTGAGTGAGTGAGTGAGTGTGTGTGTGTGTGTGTGTGTGTGTGTGAGTGTGAGTTTGTGTGTGAGTGTGAGTGTGTGTGTGTGTGTGTGCCGTTCAAACATTTGGGGTCAGTAATTATTATTATTATTATTTTTTTGTGTTTGTTTTTTTAAATAAAGAAATTAATATTACATTAATAAATGAACATTATTAAAAGTGACAGTTAAGACGTAATGTTACAAAATAATAATAAAAGCTCTTCTTTTTGAACTTGCTATTCATCAAAGAATCCTGAAGAAAAAAAAAATGTTTGCACAAAAAATATGAAGCAGTAGAATTGTTTTTAACGTTGACGATAATGAGAAATGTTTCTTGAGCAGCAAATCAGCGTATTAGAATGATTTCTGAAGATCATGTGACACTGAAGACTGGTGTAATGATGCTGAAAATTCAGCTTTGATCAGGAATAAATACAAATATACATTTTAAAATACTGTACCTTCGAATAAAAACCAGCTATTTTAAATTGTAATAATATTCGACAATATTGCATTTTTTTTACTGTAGTTTTGATCAAATGCAGCCTTGGTGAGTAAGACACTTCTCTCAAACATTAAAAAGGGTATTTAATTTATCAACAGACATTTAAATAGAACAATACTGGGTGCTCGAGACAGCAGGTCTGCTGTAAGTCACTCTCTTAAGAGCGAGTCTCATCCACTTCCCCTGAGATGAAGGGACCTCTGAATGAGCTTCTTTATCTGCCTTCTCCGGAAATGGCTTAAAGATGTGCGGCCGTGCCACATGGCTGACTGATAAGTGTTCATCTTCAGGAGACAGGAAAACTGCGCAGATAAATTTACTCTGTCATTGTATTTCATGACCAGACCTTGCAACCTGAGGATACATTTTGTTTTATCATAAACTGGTTTAGATAAAGCACCCAGGTCTGAGATTGGAAATAAGACAATCTTTCTCCAAATAACATGAGCTAAAATAAAACTAGAAAGAGCATGACTTTTTATTTATTTATTGGTAAATACTTAACAAAGCTAACAGTAAAATAGCAACACTGATGTGTTGATGTTGCATTTTTCCTTCTGTGGGACATAAAACAAGATATTTTGTTTTTTTCTCCATACAATGGGAGTCAGTGGTCACCGAACTGGTCACAAACATTCAACAAAATCTCTTCTTTTGTAGAGGAAACAAAGGCTTGGAAAGACATGAGAGTGAAGATGCACTTTAAGAAAAGCAGCAAGTCCAGTGTATCCAGAAGCATTTCTACACTGTAAAATTTGATTTTCTTACTCAGTATTTTGTCTTGTTTTCCAGTAAATATCTAAACATTTTAAAATCAAACACTTAAAAAGCATAAGATATTAAGCGTTGTTTTCTGAAAATGTAGCTAAATAAATAAATAGGCCTAAATAAATAAAAATGATATTTTCCCCCCTTCTAATCTTATTTTTCGTACCCGTTTGGTGATCTTAAACTCAATCCAATTTGATACATTATTCAGAAAACAAGGCTCGATATCTTGCGGCATTTTGCTTTCAATGTATTTGTACTGGAAAACAAGTCAAAAATACTAAGAAAATCTTTTGCAGCTATATGCGTGGATACAGGGCATTATAGAAGGTTGCTGAATCTGAATTAAGAAATGTAAAAAAAACAAAGTCAGAACATGTTTAACAACAGTTTATGTCTGGCAATTCTGAGAGAAATAAAATGCTAGAAAAAAGTCCAAATTGTGAGCTACAAACTCGCATTGTGAGATAAAACTACCGTTTTTTCCCCCATACAAACAATGGTTTGTAGATATCACCTCATCCAGTGCTATTTTTGTTTTCTGTCTTAAAGGGGTCATATGATGCTGCTAAAAAGAACTTTATTTTGTGTATTTGGTGTAATGAAATGTGTTTATGCGGTTTAAGGTTAAAAAAACACATTATTTTCCACATACTGTACATTATTGTTTCTCCTTGAGGAACGGCCGGCGGGCTGAGTGAGCAGAGGCGGCGGATTCGACGAAGGAGCGTCCGGAGGGTGATGCCTGCGGCAACCACATGTGGCGACCCCGGGCTGGACTCCGCTTCGTTCACGTTGAAAGCCGATCCAGCGATCGACAGCGCAAAGTTTAAGTATTTCCTCAGCGACCAGCACGGATCAGCTCCAGGCATGACGAAGCGGATATCGTCCTCTTTTGGAAGCCAAACAAAGTAGTTTCGCTTTCACAACGAAACACAGCGCCTTCACAACATGGCGGCGGCGGCAACAATACTACAGCGAGAATAAAAGTTACGCCTTCTTTCTTTGCGTGAAGATGTGGGAAGAATTGCATAACGCCGCACACATAGTGAGGTAGACATGTTGGGGCGTGTTAGAACGAGGCGTTTTAGGTAGGTGTGGCTGACTCTTAACTTTTATAAAGAATATCTCTTTGGATTTGAGACTGTAGTCTTTGCAACTTTACAGATCTTCTTTATGCACCAAGAGCTTGTAACACTCCAAAGAGAAAGGAAAAATTGATATCGCATCATATGACCCCTTTAAGTAGAGTATCCCGTTACGGTGTGAGAAACCGCTTCAGTAGCCCATCTGCTGTCCGAATCGCCAACTATTTCAGACAGTTTTTGCCACACCGTTCCACCGATTAGGCTATAATATCAATAAGTGCTTGATCTGCTTCTAAATAGATGAAAGGCCACGTGACATACTGCTAAAATATTATATTGGAAATGATTAGGCTACAGGAGCTCGTGCCCCAGAAAAAAAGCTCCAGCGACGCCTTCTTCATCGTTTTATCCCAACCTGCTCACAGTCATCCTGAATGAACGCGCAATTCATTTTTATTGCATAGGAACACACATGTGGTCTCACTTTCCATAAAGCCTGTAATACAGCATCTTTAGCATGCATGCTGGCTGCAGCCACACAGGGCCTGGCGCTGTCTTGACCTGTCTGTCGTTCAGTAGAAGCCCAAACCACGCGGCACTGAGAGGCAGAGCTCCGCGCTTGCGGTCGTGAGGCAAGATTTATTGCTGTAGATTCAGCCTCCTTCTAAATGTAAGGCTTGGCAGTCCATTAAATGCTGGAAAGATTGGGGGGAAACGTAGAGATCAAAACGGGCTTAAATGCACATACTGTGTAAATATGGGTAATGAAGTCCAGATGCTGCTCTAGAAGGGGAAGCAGCGTGTAAGTGGAGCCCTGAGGTCTTATTCATTCTCCTCTGCAGTTCCTGATCTTCATAGACACATTTGTTATAGACACCATTGAGGGATCAAATGCTCAATAATTTTTTCGTGAGAAAACACGATAACACATTTGCATATGTGTGTTTGATGCTTATTAATCTTGGTTAATGACATGACGGGAATGCATAAGTAGGCTATGAAACTGTTGAGAACTACTTTAATGATATAAAATACATATACATTATCAGGGCCGTCCTTAGGGGGGTGCAACTGGTGCAGTCGCACCGGGTCCCGCGGCGAACGGACCGAGGGGACCTAAGGACGGCCCTGTACATTATATAATGATTTGATAAATAGCCTAATATTTGCAATCCTTTGTCCATGACCTCTTCAAAAATCCTTTCTAATTTTATCATTTCAAAGTGAGGTGGTGCACCATATAGGCTATAGGTATGTGATTGGAAAAAAGCTAATAATTACAAAAAAATAGGCTGATGTAGTGAAAAGAATCTCAGTGGAATACAAATGAACTTTTTTTTCTCTGCAACCATCATCTATTCTTCTTGGAAGGGTCGGACAGACTTGATTTCATTTTTATGCCACTAGAGGGCATTCTGCTCATAGAATTCTCAGCAAACCTCATGTGGACAGTGCATCTTTGTAGTAGGCCTATATGCCATTAAAATGTTCATTTCGCCAGAGCCATCG